CTTTTGGCGGTGTGGAATAGATATAAAAAATTGATTGAAAAAGGGACCCCCTGGTGGCTCTCCCCAGTGGACATCATCAGATTAAAAAAACCAAACATGACGGAGGAAAGATGGACCTATGAGGATCTTTTGACAAAGTCAGAAGAGGGTTGGAAGATAAAACCTTATGATGAGCTGAAAGATAAGATAAAAGAATGGCTACTCTTTCACCAGATTAATGCACTGTGGGGTGAGCACAAGACGCAGGGGGTGAGGGATAAAAAATCAAGATATCAGGTGGAAATCCTAGAGAGTAATGATAAACACCTCTCTAAATTATATAAACAACTATTGGAATGGGATACAAGAGAGGACTTGGTGAAGGGCGGGATGGTAAAGTGGGATAGAGACCTAGGATATAATATTGATTATAGTAAATGGCAAACACTTTGGAGGAAGGGTATGAAATTCACGGCGTGTGCAACCCTCAGAGAAAACTTAGAGAAGATGGTGTACCGCTGGTACCTGACTCCAGCAAAGTTAGGAAAGATGTATAAGACCGTTGATAATTGCTGCTGGAGATGTAAAGATAAGATTGGGACTTTTTTCCACATGTGGTGGACTTGTGAGGCAGTAAAGGAATTCTGGGGAATGATATATGATGAACTGAAAAAAATCTTAAAATATAACTTCCCCAAAAAACCTGAACTGTTTCTTCTGGGTATGATTGATGAGGAAATTAAAAAACCAGATCGAACCTTCTTTCAATATGCGTCAGCTGCAGCAAGGATCCTAATTGCACAAAAATGGAAATCTCCTGATATTCCCACGATTGAAGAATGGCAAGTGAAATTATATCAATATATAGAATTAGCGAGATTAACTCAGAAAATAAGGCAAAATAACACCATGAAACATAAAGATGAATGGAAGAATTTTTTAATTTACGTTAAGAATAATACTGGCATTAATAATATAACAGCAGAAGATAGTTAACACCCTCGATGTATAATACAATTGTAAACTCTACTGCAAAGATTATAAGATGGTTATGTAACTCCATACTAAGTTGAACGGAAGTCTGCTTTTTCTTGCTCTTTCCCTTTTTCTTTCTTTTCCTTTTTCTTTCTTCTTTTTTCTTCCTTTTTCTTCTTTTGTCTTTTTTAACTGTTTGTATATATGTATCTGATTTTTGATTTGTAACGTGTAACTTTTTTCTAATAAAAATTTAATAATAAGACCAAAAAAAAAAAAAAAAAAAAGGAAAGGAAAGGAGAAAATTTTTTAAATAGAAGAATATATTAAAAGTAGTAATTTACCAAAAATAAAAGAGGAACAAATGACAATCTTAAATACTCAAATAACCGTTCAAGAACTGCTAGAGGCAATAAAGTGGACTAAAAATGGCAAGTCTCCTGACCCAGATAGACTAATAGCAAAGTATTATAAAAAATAAAGTGAACAATTGCTAAACCCACTGAAAGATGTTATGAATGAGACCTTAAATTCAGGTGAAATTCCAGAAACATGGAAAGAGGTGTATATTACAATAATTCCAAAACAAGATTCAGACTTGCTGCAAATTAGAAATTAGAGGCCTATCTCATTGTTAAACAACGATTATAAACTATTTGCAAACATTTTAGCTAATAGAATGGGAAAAAAAATTAAATGAGTATATACATCAGGATGGATTCCTTCCAGGTAGGCAAATGAAGGAGAATATAAGAAATATTTTGAATATAATAGAATACCTGGAGGTCAAAAATGAAAAGAGAGCAGTAATGATGTTTATAGATGCCGAAAAAGTCTTTGACAACATCTCTTGGAATTTCATGATAAAGTTACTTGAGGAAATTAAATGTGGATCTAAATTCTTAAAAGGAATACAAGCAATTTATTCAGAACAGAAAGCGAAATACATTGTAAATCAGGTGATAACAGATGAATGTAAGATACAAAAATGAACCAGACAAGATTGTCCATTATCACCGCTGTTGTTCATTCTGGTTCTGGAAGTACTTGCCAGGAATATAAGAGCAGATAAAGAGATCACTGGGAAAAAACTGGGGAAAGTGAGTTTAAACTGAAAGCATATGCTGATGATTTGGTGATCACAGTGGAAGATCCAAAAAAATCTCTCCCTAAAGTTATAGAAAAGATTCAGAAATTTGGGGAAGTGGCAGGATTTAAATTAAATAGGAATAAAACTAAATTATTAGTTAAAAATTTGAAGGAAGAAGAGAAAAAAGAGTTGCAGCAAAGTATTGAAACAGAAGTCCATAAAAAGGTCAAATACTTAGGGTTATGTTTAACATCAAGAAATAAAAATATTTACAAAGATAATTATGAAAAAGTGTGGCTCGATATAAAAAGAAATCTAGAAATATGGAGCAGAATGAATCTCTCCCTATTAGGAATAATAGCAGCAGTAAAAATTAATGTTTTGCCAAAAATGCTATTTCTTTTCCAGTCAGTCCCAGTAATGGTGAAAGATGATTGCCTCAAAAGATGGCAGAAGGAAATCTCCAAGTTATCGGGAGGGGCAAAAAGCCAAGGATAAAGCATAAGATACTTACAGATACAAAAGAAATAGGCGATTTTGCCCTCCCAGACCTTAAATTGTATTATGAGACTGCATGTTTGGTATAGATTAGGGACTGGGTAAAACTGGAAAAGCAAGAAGCATTGGATTTGGAAGGTCATGATAATAGATTCGGATGGCATGCATATCTATGGTATGGGAAAGGAAAAGTACATAAAGGATTTTATAATCATATAATTAGGAAATCATTAATGAGGGTTTGGGATAGATATAAAGATTTAATAGAACAGAAGACACCTTGGTGGCTTTCACCACTTGAAGCTTTGCTGCTCAAGCCACTTGGTAAAAAAGGAAAGTGGTTTACATACAGTGACTTACTAAAGGATCAAGAAGGAAAATGGAAGCTAAAAGAGTATGAGGAAATAAAAGATCATTTTCAGAGTTGGTTACATTACAGGCAATTACATGAGATATACAAAGAAGACAATAAGAAAGGATTTAGTTATATTACTTCTAGATTCCAAAAGGAAGTCATAGAAGGAAAGTGAAGTTGCTGAAGTATTCTGCAACAAAAGATGAGGAGGTGAAATCGGTCATGATCAAATGGTCACAAGATATAGGACATAATATATAATTTGAAGATTGGGGAAAATTGTGGAGAATAGTTCTAAAATTTACAGACTGTTCTCTTTTGAAAGAAAATTATATGAAAATGATGTATAGATGGTATATAACACCAGTACAGATTGCAAGAATGTACAAAACTGGGTCAAACGTATGCTGGAAGTGTAAAGAAAAGGAAGGGACTTTTTACCATATGTGGTGGGAATGTAGAGAAATTAATTTTTTGGGGGAAATGATATATAATGAGTTGAAGAAAATGTTTCAATTGACATTTGTAAAAAAAAACAAACCAGAAGCATTTTTGTTAGGGATTGTAGGAAAAGACCTACCAAGGAAAATAAAGAATTTATTTATGTATGCTACAACAGTGGCAAGAGTCTTAATAGCACAAGGATGGAAGAATGAGGAAACCCCGATGGACTATGCAGAATTGGCAAAACTGACATACAAACTGCGAGACAAGGACAACTGTGACTTTAAAGTAGAATGGGAACTCTTTACAAACTACTTAAAAAACCCCAAAATGAATTGAACTCCTTGGCAGGTTTTGAATAAACATACACAAATGTATTGATTGTTAACATAATAGACAGAGAATTTAAGGATCTTTACAATTTTACAATATGCAGAGAATAACATGTGCTGAAAAATCAGAGAGAGGAGCTGAGGGAAGTTTTGGGGGGGTGAGGGAGGGCTTTTTTGGGGGGAGAGGGGAGGGAAAAATAATGAAGATGATATGTTTTGATAATTTGTTATGTTGAAATTCTCAATAATTATTATTATTTTTTAAAGGAGAGTTCGCTGGCATCTAAAATCTTTGTGAGCTGCTCCCATTCCAGTTTAGAGCAGGCATAGGCAAACTCGGCCCTCCAGGTGTTTTGGGACTACAACTTCCATCATCCCTGACCCCATCATCTCAAAACATCTGGGGGGCCGAGGTTGAGGAAGCCGACATCATCATCATCATCATCATCATCATCAATATTGAGATGGTCTGTCCTCTGCTCTTCAGCCTAGAAAGGCTTCCAGAATGGCTTACATACAATCAATTAAACAATACTGTCCTTCCCTGCAGGCTTACCATCTAAACAAAATGAAAATACGGTACGTGGCACATAAGGGGAAAGAGAAGAGGGGAAAAACAGGCACCAGTTCTTGAAGAGCTGCTCTGTTGGCAATGAAAGTTGGCATCTGGGTCTGAAGCAAGGTCTCAACTTAGTGTCTATATACCTGTGTCTCTTGACATGTGGGCCTGGTGAACAGCTGTCTGTTCTTATTGGGACTGGGGGTGGTGGTGGTAGTGGAAGCTGCCTATATTTTTCATTATTTATTTATAACCTCCTTAGTGTATTTGAAAAAAATAAAATCTCTAAGCAGCAGTGCAACATCATTAAAAAAAGTGTTGTTGTTGTTGTTTTAAAAAAGCAACATAAAAACTGCAAATCCAGCTGCGCGAAAGCAAATTCAGAACAAGGACTTGGTGGTAGGGGTTAGCGGGGACGCCATCGAATGTTTGCATTCTGCAAACAAGTACATGTGTAAACGCATGTAAGGGAGGTTCATTCATACAGCAGGAGAGGCTGCGATTCTTTCTTTTACCCACCCCCATCCCTTTATTTGCAGATGTTGGCTCCGCCCCTCACCAGAGTTGGTCGCTGAGCAGAGCCGCAGGCCGTGCGGGCGCGTATGTCTGTGTAGAGAGGGGGGGGGGAGAGAGATGCTGAGCAGGCGGCGCGCTGATTGGCCCGGTGGGGGTATGACGCCATCCACGGCACCACCAGGCTCTTTCTGCATCAGCATCAGCAGCTCGCATCACAATCCGACCACGCCCTGCCTGGACCTGCCTCCTCCTCCGCCGCCCCCCCCCTCCGCATCCTTGCCCAGACTGCCCTCCCTCCTTCCTTTTGCAGTCAGCTGAGAAGCCAAACCGGAGTGCAGTTTTGTGCGGGGTTTTGAGCCGAGCAGCAGCAGGAAAAGGAGAAAAGGGGAAACCAGACGTGGGGATTCCTCCCCACACAAATACCTCAAGAAGAAGAACAAGAGAGGGACGTCATGGCACCAGCTGGGCTTAAGGCTGTGGTGGGAGAAAGTAAGATTAAACTCTTTATGTTGTTGCTTCCTTCCTCTCTCTCCCCCGCCTACCTTTCATTTAATGGTCAATAAGACGGGGGCTGTCTATTCCCCCGCCTCCTGCTCCGTAGTCCCCATTGTAAAAATAAATAAGGGACGCAGCTGCAGAAATCTGGAGAGTTGGTGGTAGTGGTGAATGAAATAGAGTATTAAGAGGGATGGAAGGGGGAGATTTGGAGCGTCACTGCAGACCTTACGTTTTTTTGTTGGGTGGGGGCGCCCTCGATGGTCGAGGACGCTACGGGTCAAGAGATCCTTTCCAACACCACCCTTTTTATACACTTAGTATCTATTCATATTATGAATAGCTTCTTGGCCAAAAAAGAGAAGCGTTCGTAACTGGAAGGGAAAAGGCAGAGGGGGACGCTGTTATTCTGCAGTATGTAGAGTGGAAGATGAGGGAGGGAGGGAAACAGTACCGGCTTGACTATCCCCCTCATCCTTGCCCCGTTTTAAGGGGGGGGGGCGCTTTTACCAGTAGATGTATCCATAGCAGTTCAATGTAAGACTTGTGTCTCCTGTATCCTTAACGGATTTATCTGTGACTGGAAATTATAATTGTTTAATGGCCTGCAATACAGAACATGGAGAATGTGTCTGTGTGTGTATGTGTGTGTGTAAGCGTCAACTGAGAAATCCTCTTGTACTTGCAGGTTCATTTGGGGGGGGTCATTTGGGGTGGGACCCCCCCAAATCTAGTCCTTTATCCCACCCCAAAATCCAGTCCTTTATTCTCTCTATCCTACTCCTCCCCCACACACAGTGGAAGATCTAGCGCAGATCCTGCAGTGTCAGTGCAAAACAGCCCGGTTGTTATCCCTCCCACCAATATCTCATGTATTTTTCTCTCTGCCATCCCCCCTTCAATAAAGCAATAATTATGGGGGGGGTACTTGTGAAGAATCCAACGAAATTGAGAAGTCCTTAGAATGACAGCATATAACAGAAGCTTTTTCCTGCATGGGAGGCTGAAAATGAGAATTTGGTTTATATGTGCTCGCATTGATTTAAGGGAGGGGGCCTTTGCACACGGAACTGAAATGCTATTTTTGGTCCTTTTGAGTTGTGCATTCTAAAGTATATCCAGGGAATGGTGTGGAAGGGGGATTTGCTTTATTGTTCATCCTGCAAAATTTTGCATTTTATTCCTTCTTAATGTGCCAGCCACATACTAAAACGTATCGATTATATAGGTCAAGTGACATATTGCCAAAGTCCTCTTCCATTTGTACAATGCAGGTAAATAATTTCAGTCCTTTGTAGGTACGCAGATAAATAGTGAAGACGATAAGGTGGTGGTTACTTTTAATGGAGGTACGTTGCTATGGCTCATTTAAATCCGCCGTCTGTCTGAAGCAATTACAGTTAAGCCGTGTTTTCAAAGCCAGCGCTGTCCAAATTATACCAGTCGTTTAAAAAAGAAAAGCAACATAATGTTAAATAATTATTATTTTTGCTTTCTCATAGTAAATGAAAGGAGCAGAATCATAGCTGGGAAACAGACCAAAAAGGTGGCGGCTCGGGGGGGGGGGCAGCAGCGGTTTTTTTTTAGTATTTAGGAAAGAAGGCATCTTCCTCCATGTTATGACACTGGCTCAGCACTGCAGTCAGATGAGGCTGGAGATGGTGCGTGGTGCCATGACTTGGCGAGGTGGGGGCTGGGGAGAGAAATAATCCTCCTAGATTTATGGCCTGCTTTATGTTGCACTAAATCACCTGTCTAGAGACCACTGATCAGCATCTCTGCCTGACTGTTGCGTGTTCTCAATTCTAAAAAAGCAATGAGACTCAGGTGCTGCTAAAAGGTGGCATAGGGGGAATGTTTTCCCCCTGCTTTAGCCCAAATACCACCCTTTCCTGCAAGGCAGGACAGAATCTCCCTCCCTCTCTAGAGCTTCAATTGTGTTTTTTTTTTCAGAGGGGGCAGCATAAAAAAATAAAAAAATGAGAAGAGCTTTGTTTGTGTTGTATCCCCACTTGCTGGAAACATTTCTAGGCAGGAACGACACAAAAATAAAATCAAAGCGTAATGATTGAGGCAACGAGGGAAATGCTAGCCAATCTCAGTGTTTGCTTTTGGTGACCTCTAGTCCATGCACTATGAATTCCCCCCCCCCCTAGGTATATTGTACCTTGACACAGTTCCGTTACAGCAGCAACTAATCATCACAGTCGTCAACCAATGAAGATGCTAATGTGGATTTGTTGGTGGTGATACTTAACGCTGTGAAAATTGGGCAGAATTCAGGACCCTGTTCTGTGGTTCTCCATGCTTTAGGTCTCTCAAAAGTGTGTGAGAGAGATGCTTAACAGCAGAGTATCTGATTTATACCGATATGAACCTGGCTGCCTATTGAGATGATCACCAGAGGCCTTGCTTCAGAACATTCGCCTTTTATAGGGGTGTCACTGAGCAGGGATTCAAACTCTTGTCTGCCAGCTCCTAGCCAACCCTCCAACCGCTATGCCACACTAGCAGTCCTCATAATGTTTACCCTCCAGCAAATATTCAGTAGCATACCTACAGTGTCTGAACATAGATACCATTTTAAAGTTATCATGTTTTTATCCTTTTGATAAAGCCAAGGTCAATGAATATCCTCTAAACCCAACTGACCACATCTTGTGACTGTGAGTTGCATGAGTTTTAATGAAGCAGAGGTGCAGAGATACTTAAGAAGCTGTTGGGTGGTTCTGTTGTATCTAAAGCAAGTGTGAGGGACCCATGGACCTTCAGATGTTTCTGGACCATAGTTTCCATTATCATTGACCATACTATCTAGGGCTAATAGGAGCTGGAGTCCCAACAACATTGGGTGGGGAGTGGGCGGGCACAGGTTCCCCACCACTGATCTAAAGGCAGAGCTATAGGCCTGCCATATATGTTATGGGTTGTATCCAACTAAGTTCTACTCAGAATAGACCCAGATAAATTAATGGATTTATGGGAGTCAGCTCCATTATTTTCAGTGGGTCTTCTCTGAGTAGGGCTAGCATTGGATACAAACCAGTGCTGTTGTTTTCTGATATATCTGCAATACCAGGGTTGGCTACAGTGCCTTGTCTAATGTATGTGCAATGGCAAACATTTTTATGATTGTCCATCACTCTAAGCTGCCTTACTATGTTTCCATCTTCACCATTCCCATTCAAAAAATTCCCGCATGATTCACAAAGCTTAGCCCTCTCAATTCCTCCTCCTGCATTTGTATTCCTGTCTTGGCAAATCCTAATTTCAGTGAGAGTTCTAATTTTGATTTTCTTTCCTTTTCAAAATGGAACTTGTGATTTGTTCTTAGACTTTCCTTAGAGTGGACCCATTGAAATCAATGAACCTAAGTTAGTTCTGCCCATCAGTTTACATGGGTTTTAAAGGTGCCATACAATACTCATTCCTCACTTGTAAGAAATAGTTATTCTAGTATGGCAGCACCTACCCTTTGGAACTCCTTGCCTGATGACACCAGGCAGGCACCTTCAGTGTATTCTCTTTTGGCTCCTGCGGAAAACACTTTTGTTCAGGCAAGTCTCTCCAGATACATAAGATGTTAATGACTTTTAACCCCTCTTAAAATGTTTTGGGTACTTGTTTTTGCAGATCACTTAAATTTTTTAATTTGAGGTTTTCTTATAATCAAGTGGTATATAAATATTATTAGCTAAATCAACGAGCATTAGGTATGACCCCATGAAATTCATACAATTTGATAAGACCTGATCAAACCCACCCAAGTGAGTGGGATAAATCCTTGCTCATTTCACAAAGGGTCATCTTCCTTTACCACATGGGTGTGGAATCATAGGCTACTTTTCTCATGGATTCTGCTCTATATACCCTGCACTGAATCTGAATTGGACCCCTCTGTGGCTGCTATTTAAAAAGAGGGGGGCAACAGTTAAAGAGATGGCAACATGTTTTGTGTCTAGGTGGGCCCTTGGAATACAACCAGAAAGTGACTGTCGGACTGAAGGTAGCCGCTGGGTCGAAGTTCCCTACGTGACTCTCAGTACTTTTAAGGTTTGGTGGGCTGAGCTGTGAGCAACTCCCATCATCACTTGACCATTGGTCAGGCTTTCTGAGGCTGAAGTTATCATCCAGCAAAGCCTGGAGGTCCACAGCTCTCCTTACCCCATGCTACTTGAGGGGTGGTTTCTTTCAGCAGGGCAAGCTTGATGACAATGAACGTTCTCCTTCACACACACACTCCCAGTGTTCAAAACTCCCATTGTTCTAGGCACATTTTGCGACAGGGAATTTCAGTAAGATGAGCAGTTTCTGAGCTCTGGATGCAGTACTGTGCCTCAGATTTCAGATTAAAACTGCAGAGTGGAAGGAAAAGAGGACCTTTTTCTGCTTCTCCACTTCCAGCTGCTCTCTGAAGACTGGAGAAGACACCCTCTTAATAATATTAGGGGTGTGGGCAGGGGAAAGACTAGACCATGTGAAAAATGAACATAATATTTTGGCTGCAGTTCGTTCATTTTCACCTTTGTATTCTTTTTTATAAAAATGTGCACCTAGACATTCCGTTGTTGCACCCATGACCTAGGTTTAAGGTGCCATGTAGCTCCTAGCTTTCATATCTCAGTTTCAAACACTGCTCTCTCTTATCTGTATCCTGTTGTGAAACACAGTTTTGTGGGCAGAACTGTTGTGGCTTTATGAGTGCTGTGCAGGGATGCTTTGACCTCTGCCTGTGTTTATCTGAGGGGCCTCCATGGTGAGACATTGGCCAGATCGTGCAACATGCCTTCACAGCCCCTCTAGCCCTGACTTCCTGATGCTTTGCATCCTCAGGGATGAAGTTATTTCCTGCCTTTCAGTTTCCTCTGTGTGCTCATTCCTTGTTTCCATCTGAATTGGCTTGTGATGTTGTAGGAGCCTCTGAATGCAGCCAACTTTCTGACCCCCAGGAGACTCCCTGTCCTGTCCTTGCTGCACATCCTTGAGTGTTTTAT